GAATATGTAGCTGAGTAAAACTCCAATATGTAAATTAGTGGCGCTGCACTCGGAATACGTCATCTGCGAGGAGCATAAAAGTCCATGTTTGAGAGCAAACCCACATATTTCACGGTGATAGTGACATCAGAAATCTGCGATAGCAAATTCATAACAATGACCTCCAGCATCTTTGCCTGCAACTACGATAGAAACCATTGGGATAGAGGGCAGGACAAAGTCAAACAGAAGTGGCCAGATGGCTAAATGCGAGTCCTTCTGTGGTTCATACACTTTGGAGGAAATTTCAAATCACAGATTCGGCACCTAGGAGGTTCAGCCAAGGACAGCCAACTGCTATGACGAGCGCCGATGACCGATATTTGACATTGTGTGCACTCAGGAATAGAACCGCTACTATGGCTCTTCTTAGATCCTCCCTTGCTGCAGTCACCGGAAGGTCGGTGTCAATGTCAACTGTGCGTAGAAGGCTTCACGAAAGTGGTCTGCATGCGAGGCGAACAACCATTTGCGTGCTGCTCAAGTCACGCCATAGGAGGGACCATTTGCAGTGGGCCCAACAACATGTCTACTGGACGCCTGAGCAGTCGAGGGCTATTCTCTTTTTTATTTTCTATTTAGTCCAGGTTTAGTCTAGAAAGCGATAGTAGGCATTATTTGATATGGAGAGAACCTGGAACCCGTTATCATCCGTCAAACATTCGTGAAAGAGATGCTTACGGAAGAAGCAGTGTCTGTGTTTGGGGGGATCTCTTTTTGGTGGATCACAGACCTCCATGTTTTCCCAAGGTAAACGTGAATGCTCATGTTTATAGAGATGACATCTTGATGCTTAAGTATACCCATATGCCGTGGTAATAGGTGATGCTTCCCTGTTACAGGACAACAATGCAAGACCACACAGGGCTCGCATAATGCATGATTATCTTCAACAGGAAAAAATTATGCACATGAAGTGGCCAGCTCGATCCCCAGACTTGAATCTTATCGAGCACGTTTGGGATGCTTTAGGGAGACGTCTAGCTGCTCTCAATCTGCCCCCTCGAACCCTTGTTGCGCTAGCAACTGCTTTGCAAGAGCATTGGCTCTTGCTTCCTATGGAACTGATAGACCACATAATTGAAAGCATCACACATCGCTGCATGTGCTGTATTACTTCTAGAGGCGATCAAATTCCGTATTGAAGGTACTTTTCCTATAGCAAACTGACACATTTGATTTGTTCATTTTATACATGTGCTAATTTCTATACTACCATAATTGTCTGGTAATTTCTTTTTTGTGTTATTTGATACCTTACTATGTGTTATATATTGTGGGTAAGTTTTATAAAATTCTACATGTAACTTTTTCAGTAATCGCGATTTTTCCTTAATTTCTCATAAACAGTGTAATACTAACATTTTCATATTCAGAATATAATGATGAATAACCCAACAAATATAATATCTGAGTAATATTCACTGTAAAATATCCATTACTAAATTCCTGGTTATAGCATGAAAATTTTCCATTATGCATCAAAATAAACTTGTATATTATTTTCTGCTATATTCAAATGACACAGTAAGGACAAGAAATCAAAGGAAAAATTAACAGAAAATGTAACATTATGCATACATATGTACAAAAACTGCAGTATATAATTTTATTTTGAAATTCAAATTAGAGTATTTTAATCAGGAAATTATGCTTAAACCCTTTTGTAAAAATTTACCAAATTTGCACCTTCATAATTTTAATAGTGTCATGAACTGCGCCTCTTAACCCAGTGGAAGGCACCCGAAAAAGGGGAGGGTATAAGGGTATCACATGCCTTAAATATGAATATATTGATAGTCCGCACAAAATAACATGCATTATGAAGTAAAAATTAGTAATACAAATAAAATTTAAAATTAATTTTACTTATGAGTGTAATTTTCCCATTTTTTACAAATTGAATACCATATGCTCCCATACTTACTTATTTATCCGTTACATAAACGGCAACAATACTTGGATTTTTTGGGGGGGCAGGCTGAACACAGTTTATAACAAGTTTTGGCCAACCTCTTGACATTTGAGCTGCAGAAGAAGCAGCACTCATTTCATTGACTGCATCTACAATGTATTTTATTAAGTATTAAAATATTTCTGGCTTTCATGTTTCTCCACAGGATCCATCAATTTCATCTTTGTTCTCGATGCAACTGACAATCATACCATTGCCAACAGTTAAATTACGTCCAGAATTATACACAGTTTCTATCAAATGCTTCCCAAAAGAACTTGAGTTATTGCCAACTTCATAAAGACCATTTGCTTGTTTCCCCATACAGATTTTCATATTCCAGGTATAAAACATTCTGAAATCTACCAGCATAAATATTTTTATGCTATACTTGGGTGGCTTATTTGTCAAATACTATTTAAATGTGCATTGTTCTCTAAATGGTTCAAACTTCTATTCAACAGTTACATATTCGCCAACAGTATACACTTTTCACCAGTTTTGAATATATCTTTCAAAAATATTAAATAGGAGTTAATTTATTTAAAAAAAGAGAAACGGTATAGGATCTTTTGAATACACAGGTGGGCATGACATCATTGCTATGCACGCAGTTGAGTTAAATGCATGAAGGGAACTTTTATGTTAAAACAAAGCTATAAATTTATAAGCATACATTTACTTTAAGTAATATGGATTTTATGCCAAATACATTCAATAACTAAGCTCATGTTAATAACATGCTAGTCATTTCAGATGAATCAAAAGCCTTATTTCTGATAGGCAATGTCTAGGGTACTTTTAGAGTACAATTTATACATTTTGTTTAATTAAAAGTATTTTATATAATAACAAATGAATAAATATCAGTCATATTACAGTTATGCTAATAATTTCAAAACTGAAGAGCATTTCATTCCACACTAAATTTGAATTACAAAATTTCTAGTTAACAAATTCACAAAAATTCAGATCCAGAAATATAAGTCAAACATCAATTCATTTTTACAACAAATACTTTTTTTCATACTTTACCAACAATTTCATATACAGTTTGTATCTATTTAGCTACATTATATAAAAAAACGTTCATAAACATTTCAATGAAATGTTCAGTATCAAACTCTCAAGAAAAAATAAGTGACATACTGTATGAACATTGCATACATTATATAAAAGAGAAAATGCATGAAAATATCTCTTAATGTTTTATTTTACTTGCTTTATAATTATAAATAAAACTCCATTCATAATCTCTACATATAATAAAAGAAAGAGTCTGTCTGTGTGTGTCTTTCGTCCGCACTGCACATAAGCTAATAGACCCACGGCTACGAAATTTGGTACATAGGTGCATCTAGACAAGAGCCAGTGCACCTCAAAGCGATGTTTTCGAAATTCGAATTCTAATTTTTTTTATTTTATGTTTTGTGATGAAATCACATCATTTTGAGACATAATGGGCTAGAAGGAAAGCAAGATTTTACTCTACACACTCCATTTTCACATCGTCATGAAACGTAGGCACTTAGCTATTTTACAAACTTAAAATAAATTTCGTGTTTCAATAAATCGATTAAATACGAATTTATTTAACAAAGGGAGCTTAACACCTTTTCAACGGGATTTTTCCTAAAAAAGTTTATTTTTAAAAATGTACAGTTTATTTTTCTTTGATTTTTGGACACTTTAAACTTTCATCCTTGCGACTGCTTTTACAAAAGGAATTTTGGAAAAATAATATTTTGTATTTTAAAAAATTTTTTTAAATGAAGCTTCCGAGTACACTTCTCACATCTTTAAAAATGTAATTTTGGCAACAATTTTCCTGTCTCGTTGTTGTTGACAGATTTTTGATGAAATCACATCATTTTGTATACTTTCATTCTTTTAGAAAAATGGGTTTGGCAACAATTTTTCATCGTATTTCTTATGTCACTGTTTTTAAGAGACTGGCATATTTCATTGTCATTTATACATATGTCATAATAAAAGCAAAGGAAAAGACGGAACACTGTAGATGCGTGATTAGACCCATACTGAAGAAGATTTTGATTGCGTAGTATGCTAGTAATGCTAACTTGGTATCTTTGGTAATATCTAAAGAACTTGGCAGTCGAGGCAGTTTTAATTCCATTTTTATTTGCAACTGATATTTGTGGCCACAATCACTTGGCACTCTAATCGCGCCTTTCCACAGATGATTTACATTTTTGATATTGTTGAGATAGAAAGCAAGCCAGCGAAATTACATCTTAGCATAGTAGAGAGCAAAAGCTGAAGTGCGTAGTTATGAAAGATGGAAGCACGGCAAAGAGAAAAGTTTTGGTTTACAAAGGCAGTTTCAGTTCTTAATTATTATGTCATCAGAGTTATGCGGGCCATAGAGTGATCTAGCAACGACGCAATGCAGAGAAGTTATTATGATTTTAGAATAAAGAGGAAGAATTAATGTTTATGGTTATATTATAATTCTGATTCATATAATTTTATCTTAATATATATATGTATAATTGAAATACTGCAGAGTAAAATTCTGCACGGAATTTTAGGTTTTTTGAGTTACTTTCATGTTATTTTTTGCTTATTTCACTGTTTGTAAGATATTGAAAAGTTTTGCATGATTTTTTTTCTTCAACAGAAAGTGGTTAATTTATTTATTAGGATAATTAATATTTGTATTAAAGGATATTGCTTATTCCACTGTAATTTTGTTATACGTAATAACTTTTTTCATGAAGTGTTTCTGCAGAGTAAAATTCTATGCAGTTTTTAAATTTAACATTTGGTGTTATCTTCAGCCATTTTTCCGGTACATTTAAAAGCCAGACGAAGGCTGGCAGTGAAGCTGCTAGTTATAAATAAAAATATGTAAAATCAAGATCAATAAATACATAAAACAGGCAGTTAGAACTTAAGGATAATTTAGCTTATGATCACACTTTAATGAGCACAATCTGCATGATTTTGCTTACTGAAAAATATTACCAAACTATGAATTGCATACCGTTCTCCTATATTCTTCCATGGAATGCTCATAGCGGAGTTTCGCTTCTAACTGTCTTTCTACATAAGGCTGCTTATCATCATCAGTCATACTCCTCCACCGCTCTCCACCTGTATAAAATAAAATTGTAATGCGAATGGAAAATGCTCTCTTGGTCTAATATATAATACACTTTAAAAAATATTTTCAAGGTTTTTATTTATTTATTTATTTTTTTATTTTTTTTTTTAAAGTGGAATAACACATTTTTGAAAATGACAGGAGCAGTACCTTTAAATAAATATAACTGCTCAGAGAACTACATAATGAAAGTCAAAGCAATATTAACATGTTTGCTATCAGAGTCGGTGTACAAAATTTTACCAGAAGTTGGCTAATGTGAAAAACAACATTTAACATACACCTCAGCACATGCTGGCACATGGACATGGAGACAAGATATAAAAGAGTGGCTATCAGCAATCCTCACTATACGACCCACTGAAGACATTTTGGTGATAATCTTTTCTACCTATTCATTTTTATCAGCTCATTCAGTTTGTTAATTACATGTAAATCTATTTGTTTTACAATGTTTTAAACATATTAAGAAAAACACCACTTTGTTACACTATTAAAAGACTTTTTTAAACTTATCACAGTTAAATTTTAAAAGCATCAGTTATTGTAATAAATATATAAAATAAGTTATTAATAAATGCTTTTAAACAGAAATGATAGGAATGGGAATGTAATTTTTTAAAGCACTCAGTTTTTCAGTGCTACTTTAATATGGATGAATAATTTAAGTGGCAGTAAAAACTGTACTTAGGGATATAACATTAATAACAATTACTTTAGCAACAAAAAAAATGAAGGTAAACATAATACAGCTTTTTCAGAAATCCTCCAGCTCGTAAAGAACCAGAAACAAAAGTTGAAGAAAATAACAGATTGACTTCTAGGTAAAATAATCAAATTACTAAAATTGTTTTCTCTACTTAATGGAAGAAAAAAGTAATAAATTATTCCACGAAATGTTAAATTTGAAATTTCGAAAATTAGATTCTAAGAAGGCAATTTTAATCACTTAACTGTTTTGCCCGAACACAATTTGGGTGCCAAGAAAAGATGCTTTTTCTTTATTTACCCGTACAACAGTCAGGCAGTGTATTTTCTTACACCAATTTTCTCATTTTTTACTTTGTAGTGTTTCTAATAGATGTCTCGATTAGTCCAGGAGAGACTGAATTGTAAAATCAGATCAAGGATAGGCCTTTTCCTGCATTTTATTAGGTGAAGAAATTCAATGAGTTTGTTTGCACATGTTAAATGTATTAGGCTTTGCGAATAGTATTTCTTCCCAATTTTGTTATGAAATAAAAGAACGATGGGTGACAGTAAATGGCTCATAACAAAATATAATTCTGATACTTAGATAACAAATATGAATTTTCTATAAATGATACTGGTAGCCCTGATAGTTATTTATCAAAATTCTCTAGTGATGATGACGAAACTGAAATATCAGTGATCTAATTTAGGTTCGAAACTTTTGTAAAATGGATACTAGTAATCCTCCTCCGGCACAATTTTCTTCACAACAAATTGATTTCTTTCACATTTATCTCCTGTAAAGTGTTCTTTCCAGTTCCACAGTTTCATCAGAAAAAAAAAAAAAACTTTAAGTTTTAATTTCGCCGTAGTTAAAAATGATCTTAATTTAATAAATGCAATACCTGTAACAGTTTTGACTGATAGTTTGAATTCATGTAATTCATTAGAATACAAAATTTATTATAAAAAATAGGCTTATTTTTGGTCACAATATGGCAGGAGAATGAAGCAGTTAAGTGGTTAAGATACCACTTCTTATTCTTCTGCATTAAACTAGAAATACAAAATACATTAATATATATAAAAATAATCAGAATTTTTTATTACATATCAGAACTTTAATGGGAGGATAAATCGCTACAGATATCATATAATGGAAATAAACTTCCTTCAATATCTTCTCTATGATATGCATAGAAATGCACACTGTTATTCTAAGGATGTATTATAAAAAAAGAAAACTTTTATCTTGCTATAGTTTAAGAACTACAGCACCAAAGTCTGAGATCCGGAGGTCCAATATCCGGAATGATCTAAAATCCAGACGTTAAAGTCACCAACAATTTTTTTTTTTTTAAATGCTTTAAGCATATGCATATGATTTTCACCACCCATAAGGAAAACACGTGGAGAAAATCCCAATTCTTAATTTCACTTCAGCACTAAATAAAATACCTAGTTCCCAATCATTTTGGCATGAATTTGTGTGATCAATAATTTGGCTCAGTAGCTGTATATCTTGGCATAAATCTCAAAACGAAACATTCTACATAGAAACATCATTAATTTTACAACTACTACAGTACAAAGTCCGTAATCTGGACTCATCGGGACTTCGGCGATTCCGGATTATAGATCATCAATTTAAATCTGGTAAGATGGCACGCAGAAATTATATAATTAAAAATATGAAACCGTAATATGAACCGTAATTATGATCTAAAGGGTATGAAAATTTACAAAAAAAAAAAAAAAGTTTAATATTTATTTGTTTATTTGTTTAAATTATTAAACATTTCTTTCAATATAACTTGTTTAAATTGCTTCGTTTTTTGTACTAATACTTTCTCTTTAATTCTATAAACAGACATAATTTCTTGTTCAGTTACAAAGTTCCACTGTTCAAGTCCTGTAATTGCTGTGTCGAGAATAACGACAAGCTCTTTAATTCTATAAACAGACATAATTTCTTGTTCAGTTACAAAGTTCCACTGTTCAAGTCCTGTCCTGTAATTGCTGTGTCGAGAATACCGACTAACTTGTCAATTGAAATTTTTTCATTTTCGTTTCATCTCTGTCACTTTCTTCACTATCAGAAGCGTGCATGGGTAAACGCTTTACACGCATGCATAGCGGACGTGCGGATTTCTATTATCAATATTATTTCTTCAGAATAATCAAAAACTTGACTATACTTGACTAATAAATGCAAAATTTATTCTCCTTTGAACAGAACTTATTTTGAAATGTAACTTTTTAGACATCTCTTTACACTAATTACTTTTGATCCTTAGATAATGTTTACTTATTGCTTGATTTAAGTACATAACATGGTTGTCATTGACATCATAATTTAGCAAATCTCCAATACAGAAAAAATGAAAAGATATTTGTTCCAATAAACTTTCCTAATATACAGTGGGTGAAAAAAAAAGTATTGGCAATTGCCTATAATTGATAATATTAACTAATAAAGGAAATGCTTCACTAATTTAACTCGACATAAAGAACTTAAAATGTAAAACGCACAAATGTAATGAAACTTCAATTTTAATATGCTTGTTACACAAAATATACTACAAAACGTATATTCGCATGTTAAAAAAGTATTGGCAAGGTTCTCACTGCTATACAAATTTTGTTATGTTGAGGCCACATGTTTAGACTTATAGAAACGCTAAAGTCTGCATGCAGTGCTACTTCAAAACTTTTAAAATGTTATTTTGTTTATACTGTGATAAAACGGCTTCAAAGTCGAAGAAGTTGGATGCTAATGTTAAAAACATGACTATTCAGCTCAGACGTGAGGGTTTAACTTATCATGCTATAGGAATGCAACTGAACATAAGTTATTTACCATTAAGGTGCATCCACACGACTATGCTAGCGATGTAAATGACATAACGAAATGCACGTTGATGGCGAAAAGTCGCCAAAACGAGGATGTGAGCAAAGTCTGCGTTTAGCCAATAGAATTACTGAAGAGAAAAAATCGTGACACTCATAGAAGGCTGCATGTTTAAAAGTGTTTCATCTTCTGTTTTGTAGCCTGGTGAGAAGAATATTACACTCGGTTCATTTAATAGTGAAATGTTGTTTATTAAGCAATTTAACAGTTTGGATAGGAAAATTAAACAGTTATTATATGCATGAATCACTTTTTATTCAAATTAAGATTTATAAAATTGTTTTGGTTGTTAAGATTTATAAAATTGTAAACAATTTAAATTTATAAAATTTACAATACAGTATATGAAGAGAATTATAACACCTTCCACCATATAATAAAATCAACTTTATAAAATTTTTTCTCCCCTTTCTCCCTTGGCTTGCATGCTTATGTTCGGTATGGAAGTATATGTAAAGGAATTTGTGTAATGTGTTCTACGATTTGATTATTCCGCATATATTATTACACAAATAAATTAGACGAAAAAGTTCAGGCAATAAAATTTCTAATGATATGCTGTTTCTAAATATTTTTAGCACAATGTGACTTTAGCTCAAAGGCTTTGGAATCGTACGCCTGCAAATTTGGGGGGGGGGATTGCCTGTTTGAAAGTAATATAAAATGTGGAAGCTTTCAGATTTTATATTCTTATATTATGAAAGCTTTCAGATTTTTTCTATTGTTTTTCTTTTTATTATTCCTTATTTTTATTTATTTTTAAATTTAGAATAAGGTTCAAATTTAGGACAGTTTATGTAAAATTATGCAGAAAATAAAATATGCAATGAGGTAAAAATAAGCAGATAATTTTTACAAGAGATGCATATATATAATTTCATAATGGGTTAATGGTTTCTATTCATAATGCATATTTTTAAACTAAATTGAAAATAATAATCATAGATAAAATAAGAAATGAAAACAACAATAATAGATAAAATAAGAATAAAATGAGTCTTGATTAAATATAAGAAACATGTTTCTAAATGAGAAAAGCTAACTCTGGTTTACAAAGGTTACGGGCGAGGTTCGAACTCGCAAGTCTAGCACACTGACCACTCAGCTATCTGTGATACCACTTTCTGCGAAAAACAATATAACAAGTAGTCACCACAAAAGTTATTTAATTAATATTCAATTAAATGAGTGCCGTATAACTCAAGTTGTAACTATCCTTGAAAATTTTTTAACTATTTTATTGAATACTTCTTCACAGTTAACTGCATTATTTTAAAAGTTGTTATAGTGTTGAAGTTAATATTGGGATACTTATAGAACTTCTTGTTACACATGAAATAAAGTGCATTTGTAATAATTAAGGAGAATTTTGTAAGACAGAAATTTGATTTCGTAGAAACTGTAATTTATTTCAGTTCCTATTATTTATAATGTTATATACAGGTGAAGCATATGGATATACTGGTCAAAACATTGCTTTATAAATATATAGTTTTTCCCTTCGAAATGAGAATGAGAATTTGAAATTCATTCCAATCTATATGAGAGAATTGAGGATGCTGTAAACAAATGTTGATGATTTTATTCCTCTTAAAGGTTACGATCTCTTCGAAAAAACTCATCACTATGTGGTTCTGACGCCATATTGAAAAGTGTAAACAAGTTTTTTTCCGATTATGCCATCTGATGAGAATTCAGTCAGCTATTGGCTGTTCAGTCACATCAAAGGGAAAAGTTAAACATGAGCAAACTCAGTTTTACAACCTCTGCACAATGCAAATTTACGCTGATGGGGGAAAAAATTGTGGCAACTATGTCGCAACAGTGCTTGTGTGGGCAGGCCTTTAGAAATATTACAAAAATGTTGAATGAGATAGGATCGATGAAAAATACGACATTATCAAATATGTTAAGAAAAACCCTACAATAAATGCTTCCCAATTAGCCAAAGATGCTGCTAATACTTTGCATAAAACTTTTAGTATTATACAGTATATGGAATGTTTTACATGAAGGAAGTTATTAAGGAAGGGCTGTTAGAAAGAAACCTTTCATTTCAGAAATAAACAAGAGAAAGAGATTAGATTTTGCAAAATCTCATATTAATTTATCAGATGAGTTTTTGAACACAGTTATTTTCTCCAACAATCAAAGTTTAACATTTTTGGGAGTGATGGACAACAATATGTATGGAGGAAGGCAAACATCGAACTGGAAAATCAATACTTAACACTGTGAAAAATGGAGGAGGGAGCGTTGTAGTTTGGGGCTGTATAGCAGTCAAACGGAGTTGGTAACCTGTGCTTCATTTATGGGATTATTACAGCACATACGTACATTAACATATTGTGTCATAACTTTTCGTGGCACAAATAAAACCAGAAGTCAGGAAACATAAAATTTCACGTAAAGATGAACTTAAGCATATATTCCTGTAAGAACGGCACAGAATTCCCAATAGTACAACCAAAACTTTGGTTTTCTCTATGAGAAATAGATTACAAGCTGTTATAAATGCAAAAAGTATGACCATAAAGTATTAAATTTTGTTCCCATAATTAAGACACAATAACACGCCGAATAAATACTAATTCAGAAGTCAAACAACAAAAATCAGCATTATATTTTCAAAATTTTCACAGTATTTGAAAACATAATTTTGAAAATATAATGCTGATTTTTGTTGTTTGACTTCTGAATTTGTTCCCATATTTTGATGTATGGTTTTGCTAATAACTTTTTGACATGCAAATTTATGTTTCTGCTGTAAATTTTGTGTAAAAGGCACATTAAAACGAAAGTTTAATTAGATTTGAGTGTTCATTGCCTCCTGGGTTTGTTATGTCCAGTTAAAACTGTTATGCATTTCTTTTGTTAGCTAATACGATCAATTATAGGCAATTGCCAATACTTTTTTTACCCAATGAAAATTAGAATAATGTACTAACAGGGTATAATAGGTAGCAATTTTCAGTTACTTAAAGGATTCAAAACACTAACACTTTCAAAAAGCTTTATTTCTTTGAATACATATAAAACATTCAATACAAAGCCTCCATTGTTCTTTTTTTGTATAACTGACGAATGAAGGATGATTTCTTTATTCATAAAAAGAGCTAAAATGTAATGTTAACATTTACTTTCTAAATTTTGACAGGGTTTTGAATACTGACCCTGTCAAAAAAAATCTGTCCTTGTTAAAATTTAGGCCTCTATTAAAAATAGACAAAGCTACTCTTCAAAAGCAGCAAGGAGCAGTGAAAACTACCCTCGATTACAGCTATGCTTCCAACCCACTAATTGTCACTGAAATTAAAAAAACAAGCTTTCGTTAAAATGAAAGCATCACAAAAAGTGCATTGGATGAATGAAGACCCAAAAGTCTTCCCTAGAGGCTTGTGAGAAATTATTACAAGAAATAGATGAAAACAAACCAATGAATTGTAACAATGTCATGGTTAATCCCCTTGAATATACTGATATCAAATACCAACTACATATATATGACTTGGGAAAGACAAACATTCCTGATGCAATATTAAAATCACACACATTACATATGTTATATGAACAACACCCTGAGCCTGAATGAACTACAGCGAGTTCTTAACTGGCAATACGTGTACCACTGGTGGTACGCAAAGAGTAAAGTATTTTTAACTATTAAATTCAAAAATCAAACATCCTGATTGAGTTTCTTTTCTAACACTAATTTTTGAATTTAATTCGTAAATTTATGAGATCTGAGCTATGTTCAAGAGTGGTGAAGGTAGTAGTACTTTGTAGTGATGGTATTAAATGTTTTCAACTTTGTTTAAATGGTACACGCTAGTCACAAGGATGAGAACCGCTGGACTAGAGTATACACTGATGGCTCTAAAATACAAGACAACACTGGGGGCTGGTGCAAACAGTAAACTTTTTCCCCAATGCACTCCTGTGGGACGCTTCATGTCGAATACTGATGCAGAGATTCTTGAAATCTCACTGGCTCTGGAAAACCTCAACACTTGCCTAGTGATTAGACAGGCGTTTTTCACAACTTCTATTTTAAATTTCAGTAATTTAGGACACCAAATAAGCTGTTTATAATTTTTGTGAATTTAAAACTTGATGGTTTATTTTTGCACAAATTCATATAGATAAGGAATTCTAATGAGGGGGGGGGGCAAAACTGAAAGTGAATGAGAAAGAAAATGTGAATTATTTTATACAAAAGTAATTTTGATTTTTTACTTTTGCATCAGTTGTTTCTGAACATCCAAAAAGCAGAGCAATAAATCATTTTATCTCTTTAGATAAATAAAAAAAATATTGTCAAGGGTATCATTAATGTCCATAGCTATTATAATAAGCGAGTGTACGAGGGCCAATAAGACCAAGGAAGTCAAGTATTCTGGCCTTGGATCTGGCACATGATCTCCATTCCACACAGCTCTACCTTCATAAGCATGACTTGCTATTAGGGAATAATAACACATTCCCTAATAGCAACCAAACAGCAGCATAATATTTAATGTAATTCAAGCTTAAGGTTTTGAGAACTAAGAAACAATTTCCACATACTTTCAAGAACCCTGAAAATAGCATTAATAAGTAAAAGGACTTAAAAGTTATCACACACAAAGTTTATTTATGAGTATATCTTACCCAATTTTGCCATTGCAGCAACTCCTCCTTCTGGTTCTTTCCCTGCCATTTCCTTCCTGAAATCAGCCATGAATATCATGAAAGCTGTACCCGGACGCTTTGGTTTATTAGCATCTCTTGCAGGCTTGTATATGGACATCTATCAAAGGATACAGAAGTTTGATTCTAAACATGTACATGTAATCACAGATTTTCTTAAAAATTCAAAAATTTATACAAAGCTTATACCTGAAGAAATTCTTAAAGTTTGCAAGACCTATAGCCCAAAAGCAATTTAATTCTTTAACTATGTACGCTACAAATCATAATTTCAATAATAATAAATTTTAAGTTCTTTCCCTATTAATATTGTACCTTCTATGCTAGATACTGTCTTTGCAATTTTAAGAGCATTAACCTTTTGCAGATGATAAAAGGCTTTTGCTCATGTGGACAGTTTGCTACATTCACTGAGTAGCAAGGAAATGTCCCTGTCTGTGCACTGAACTTAAAAATTTCAGTTTCCTTTTAAAAATATTCTTTACGCTAACAATTCAGCTTTCATAAAAAGGACATAAATTTACAATGTTCAAATTCTACAATTTATATTTTGCTTGAAGTTTATTACTTATGCTAATGGAAATCTTAAATTTTACAACTATGCAAACCAATATCCAAAATTAACAGTATATTTCATGTTTCAACAATACTTTGGAATCCTTTTAACATTATAACAATAAACTGTTTCTCAGCATGGCAATTTACAGTAGCTTTTCCCTTCACTTTTTCCCACCTAATAACTGAAATGAATTATAAAATGTCTCTGAAAAGGCAAATTTTTTTCATTTCAACTGCTATGAATTTAAATGTATCCATCTTATTGCAAGGATTAAAACTGATTGACTAGTCATTTAGGAGTAATTTGAACTACCCTCGGCTCATTTAGGAGTAATCTTAATTACATTTACTATATATATATAATAACTCAAAGTTTTATTTAATTTTAAGATATTTTATTTTTTATTTTTGCCACTTTTATTTCTGGGGAGCAACATCTATAAACTGCCTTTCAAAAAACATTATGCAAAATTTGCTTTGACACTAGCTGTGTATTTAAAATTACATAGTCCTACATAAAGGTTTTTTAAACTTTTTAAGACATTAAAAGTTTAAAATCAATAAAGCTCTAATAACTAAAACCCACAATTCAGAAATAAAAGAACTGCTGAGAAGTGAATTACAAAGCTGAGTGAGTTTTTTTCTTTCCTGCCTTTAACATCTAACTCGAAATACCTTGTTGGTATTTCGAGTTGCTGATGAAATGCCTGAAGTGCTGTAACCAGGGGCTCCAAAAGTGTGCACCACGGCACTCCTTGTTACTTTCGTGAGGCGAATTCTTTGCTATCCGATGCGAGAGATTTCCAGAAGCCCGCGTTTGACCATCATGTCGCATAGACAGAAGTTGTTGTGAGCACTCATTAGTGGTAGTATATAAGCTGCCGTAGGCCACATTGCCAAGTTAGTTTATTGTTAAGTGTATGCAGTTAAATTGATAAGTTAAATAGAAGCAGTAATAAAGTGTTCTTGGTAGTGATACGGAGGGTTGTGATTTATGAATCCAGAATAGATATACGTTTCAATTATCTCTTTTAACATATGCACGTGAGCAGTTTGGTTGCTTTGTTTTAATTGTGCTGTTTCGTGTTTTCGTAAAAATTTAGTCACTAAATAGAAAGATATTTATTAAATGTGCAAGTCAGAGTGATCAAGCCTCAACAAGTTGCTGGAGAGCAAAAAGGTGGAAATATCGCAAATACAATGATAGCTACTTAGACTTTGGGTTTATTTCAGTAGAAATAGATAATGAGGAAAGACTGCAAGGTTATGCTCTGTTTGAAAATTCTATCATCCAAGAGTATGCTCCCAAGTAATCTAAAACATCTGGAGACCATTTATTTACCCTACCATGGTTGAAATATTGCGTGCATTTTTAGTAGGAAATTGCAAAATTTACAAAATAAAAAACATGCTCGCTCAAGAAGCTTCAGCACCTAGCAACTGATTGCTAGATCAATGTGGCATACAAGGCAGCAAACTGCAAGAAATCTCACACCATCACAGATGAACTTATTTTATCGGCTGCTGTTGATATGTGGTTAATATCATGGTAGGAGAATGGGTGGGAAAACTAATTACAAAGATACCTTTATCTAATAACACTATTAGTTGAAGAATACATCATACAGACGGACATCGCAATGACCAATTAATAAAGAAAAAGCAAAGAGTTTTGGTCTACAACTTGATAAGGCTACTGACGGTAATAAAGATGCATACATTATTTGTTACATATGTTTTCTAGATGATAACATAATTGACGAAGACCTTTTTTGTCAAAGCATCAGTGAAGGCGCGAAGGCTCAAAACTTATTTGAAATTCTTGACAAGTTTATAACAGAAAATAATTTAAGATTGGAAAAAGTGTATCGGTGTGTGTACTGACGGTGGTCCATCAATGTCTGGCAGGTATGGAGCATTGCAAGCCGTTATTCGGAATAAAACACCACATACTGTGTGGACCCATTGAATCATCCATAGGGAAATGCTTGCATCAGAGTCGATGAGCAGTCAATTGTATTTGGTATTGGAATGTAAACTACATAAGAAACTAGGCCGCTGAAAACAAAACTAACACAAACACTAAAACAAAAACTCTGCATTGACATGGGAGTTGAGAACACAGCCCTGCTATATTAGTTCACACCGGATTTCATGTGGAAATGTCTTTAAATTATTTCGAAACTACTTTAAAAAAGCTCATGTGTAAACCACATGACTTCCTTGGACCTATTCCTATTAAATTATATGCATTTTTTTGGCATTTCATTAGATACAGTGTCTCACAAAAGTGATGGGACACTTGTGCTTTACAAAAGGAAACTGCAACAAAATAAATTTAAAAAACATGCAAAATTTTTTGTGGGTGTGTTTCATACTTAAATTTAGTAACAATTATTACATAACAAATTTTTTCAAAATATTAAAATATTAATTTAATAAAAATACAATTGTTTAGAACGGATCAGAAAATGGCTCACTTAAGTGATGGGACACTTACTTTTCCATCAAATATTTATCCAAAAATTTTACTTTTTAAAAGGTTTTAATATTTCGTTGGATTTCCTTTTACTTTTAAAACATGATTTAATCTTCTTGGGATGGATTCGGCTAATTTTTTTGCGATTTCTGGAGTGATTTTACCCCATTCTTCTTGAAGCACCGATTTTAATTATTGTTTTAAAGAAATGGTGTGTTTGAGAATTCTTGATTCCAATTCTTGCCAAATATTCTCTACGGGATTTAATTGTGGAGATTGTGGGGGTGCTTTTATTATTTCAGGACAGTTATACAGCAGCCAGAGTCTAATGTTCAAAGCACTGTGCTTGAGGTCATTGTCCTGGTAGAATTTAAAATCGTTATGAAGGTTCAATTTTCGTGCTGAAGATTTCAAATTTTGATTTAAAATGTCAATATACTTGTACTGATCCATTATACTGTCAATAAAAACAAGATTACCAACTCCAGCGGACGACATACACCCCCATACCAGAACTTCTCCTCCACCATGTTTTACTGATGGCACCAAGTTTTGTTTGCGAATATTTCTTCCCTTGGTTTTCTCCACACCAAGATTCTACCGTCAGAACCAAATATATTAAATTTACTCTCATCAGCAAATACAACTTCATTCCAGTAATCAGAATTCTTATTTATGTTAGATTTTGCGAAAGCCAGTCTGAGTTTTCTATTCTTTTCACTTACAAAGAATTTTTTCCTGGCTGCTCTACCGTGATATCCAGCAGATCGAATTACTCTTCTAATAGTCTCAGGATTAACAATTACTCCATATAATACTTGTAAATCAGCAGCAACTTTAGGATCACTCATTCTTGGATTTTTTTTTTTTTTTTTTTTTTTTTTTTTTTTAATATTTCGAACGATAATTCGCTTTATTCCATTGGATAGCTTTGATGGTCGGCCAGGTCTTCTTTTATCCTGAATCATATGATTCTATTTATATCGTTTAATGATATTGAAAACTGTTGAATGACTGAAGTTAACTGTTTCAGTAGTTTCTCTAATAGATTTTCCACGTTCAATATGCAAATTAATAACTAATTTTCGAATTCCAGGCAAAGTTTGTTTTCGTTTAGCATTCATGGCTGCACAGAGCTAAAAAACACAAATTTCCAAAACAAACTGGAGAGAAATACTGCAGACGATTTTATAAATTATTGGCAATTGCCTTTGAGTAAAAATAAATACCCCAAAAGATATTTTTATTGCTTACTTCAGACGATTTTTGTTGCATAGTACGTAGTGTTCCATCACTTAAGTGAGCCATTTTCTGCTCCGTTCTAAACAATTGTATTTTTATTAAATTAATATTTTAATATTTGAGAAAATGTATGTTATGTAATAATTGTTACTAAATTTAAGTATGAAACACACCCACAAAAAATTTTACGTTTTTTAAATTTATTTTATTGCAGTTTCCTTTTGTAAAGCACAAGTGTCCCATCACTTTTGTGAGACAGTGTATATATTTCTCATTCAATCAATTCAGTTCCCACTTCCCGGCAAGGCAAAAATACATAAAAACTCAAAATACATTCACTCCAACCGGCAACAAAACTTGTCAGTAGTCAACGCGCAAACATTTTAACAACTTTGAAAAGGCGCGTGTAACGCATGTTGTAATTAACCATTCATTAATTTTTAATTAATCATTAATAGTAATCAATTTTATTACATTTAAAACTCATATACACGTAAAACTGAATAATTAAAAATATGCCTTGTAAATTATATGCACATTTAATTAGAAATTTCATTTTAACTCCTCAAGCATGTATATCATTAAATCTACTAATATATGAACAAAGGAAGTATTTTAAATCACTACTAATTATAAAAAAATTAGAATCTATAAATCAGTACACTGGGATCCGGGACAGTTGACTTCGGATTCGGGTTAGGGGTTTTTCCAGATCATAGATCATGAATTCAAATCTGGTAAGATGGCATGCAGAAATTATACAATTAAAAATATGAAACCGTAATTTATGAAATAAAGAGCAATTATGATCTTAAGGGTAT